ACATGCGAGGAAGGAGCTCATGAACTGAACCATTTTTGCAGAAAATAGAGAGACAGAGAGAGAGGCAGGAGGCTCACGCTTCACGGACTCACGGAGTCTGTTGTCACAAACACGGTGCAGTGGGCCAGTGCCAGAGACCGGAGAGGCTGTGGGTGACCGTCGGCGGCAAGATATAACCGAAACGCAGATTTCCAAAATCTTCAAAGCCGGTACCTCAACGCAGCAACGACGACCGATCTCCCCGACGATCGATGACAGCGATTTGGCTAGACAATAAGAGAGCTGGCGACTGAGACAGAGCGGCGGGCGTCGAAGTGTGAAACGCAGAGACGAGAGGGAAATGGAGAAGTCAAAATTGGAGAAATTAGGTTTGCATTTTGGTCTCGTCTGCCGCCATTTGAGATACTGACAATACAATTAACACATGTTTGGTATTCTAATATTTCAGAGGGGCAAAAATGTCATAAATTGATATTTTTTATAGCAAATTTAAAAGGTGACAATTTTGATAAAGCAAACTCAATTTTTGATACCCAATGAAATTTCCTTTTTTAATTATTTATGCTTTTTAGGAGAGCAAGAAGTTTAAGCAACTGAAAAAGCTCGTAGGGACATAGAGGTAGAGAGACCTCTAGGTTTTCTGATGAAGAGGAATTTGTTGACAAGTTGAAAGGGATGGCATCTGTAGATCTTTATGTCGGCAAGCTTTCAAGTAAGGCGTAATTGCATATAAATATAGGAATTTTTTTTTTGTGTATGTATAATGCATCATCATTGTTTATGTACAACTGTTAATGCATATATTTTTTTGAATCAGATGGTTTTAGCAGAAATTGAACTGGACCTTGAACGTGGCTCATCTTTTGTATAGTTTTTTTTTTTTTTTTTCTCCTTTAGTTTATGTGAAATTGATACCTTACTCTTTCTTTTGATTTCTCATTGCAGAATTTTGCTGGGCATGAACAAACGGTTTCTGGTAATTAATTGTTTAAATTATTATATATTGTGACAATACATTTTTTATGAATCCTAAGATTTATTAGTGAGTGTTGACAAAGATGCATCAACAGTTCAATACTTACATCAATTGAAAAATAAATTTTATGCCTCTAATTTTTTTTCGGTTTTACTGCACTTCGTTGAATTTCCTTTTTATCTGTGCTCAAGGCATTACTTAAATATTTATATACTAATTTTCATTAGTGCATTTATTTAAATTCTATTAATATTTGATTGCATTGGTATTGAGAATTTGTTTCTCAATTACGTTAATCAAAGTGTTGATATCTGATACATTGTTCTTATTTATGATACAACTTGATTTTTAAGTAAAAATGGTGAGAGTTAGTGTCTTCGATGACGTTCTTGAGAGCATATCAATGAATAGATGAGAGGGAAGCATCATGCCATAATTCAACCATCCTCCAAAGTCATTATTAAGTTTCTCTTCATGATGTAAAAGCATAGTATAAAAATCGTTATGTGGTATTACGTCGTCCATTTAAGTATGAGAGACTATCTATACCCTTAATTTTTTATGATGTCTGTAAGATACATCGAAAAGTTTGAGAGTTTGAGGATGTCGATTATCACCGATCAAAAATTGTGGTTGAACAAAACATCAACCCTGATTTTGATATTGGTGTCCAGAAAATTGAGGGATGGACTACAAGGTTTCTTCCGTTTAGGCAGGTAATAATATAAAATACTATACATTAATATTCTGTCAATCCCAAGTGAATGCTAATTGCTCAAGTCCACAAAATTGACTCCCATTTTTCTTACTTTCCATCCTTCAATACCTCTGTTTTCAATTGTTTGACTCAATTTACTTTTCAGTTTGGATACATTCTGCTGACTACATCTACTGGCATCATAGACCATCAAGAGGCTGGGAGAAAGAATGTTTGGTCAAAAAGTGCAATCCCTACGCACATTAGTTTTTGATGTGAGTGATCCATCAACATGGTACTTAAAAAAATTGAGAAAGTGTGTTCCATGCTTTTGTTGCTTGGAGCTGAATCAAGTTAACTTCAGACTCTTCCTTTCTCGTCTCTAAGAATTTTATCAAAAAGGTTATGCAGGATGGAGAATTTAATTTGACAAAATGGCGCTTATATGATTGCTTTTATTACCTCGACGATTTTTGTCATCCAAGATTACTACTTATGTTGCAATTCTTCAATGTTACTAGGTTTCATTTGCCATTCAATAAAAATTAGGTCTTTCGTAATTATTTCCTACTTTCATGGTGTTTGATAATAAAGTTGAGTATTGAAAATTCTTAACTTTGGAGAAGCGAGTACATCAAAAAAATTTGTATTATGCATCAAATGTTTAAGAACAAATAATAAAAAAAAAATGAGCGATTTATTTTCCACGAACGCTGACATTATCTTAGAAGTAACAAAGCCCATGCATTGCATGGGTAGTGGACTAGTATATTCTAAAAAGACTCGATGAGTTTGAAAAGTAGCTCACACTCCTAGAATTATGAAAGATAGGCATTAATCTTGATTAATTCATTTGCAGTTGTTTTTGTATTAATGGACATTCAAATGCATTTTCCTGAAAAACATTTTCAGAATGTACTATAATTCAGTCCATACCGCCCAACAAGAATATTAGACGAAATTGCATTCAAAATTATCTCAAAAATCAACTTCTTACGTAATTTAATTATCTCTAATTAAATAATATTAAAAAATCATTAACTGATAATCAAAATTAATATTCATTCAATGATATACATTTTTATGGTGCCTTCATACGATAGTTTTGGGCAGCAAAATTTAGATAAATTATTTGTTTAACTTTTTTCTACAATGCCATCTTTAGAAAAACATATACCATTGTTATTTTTGACAAAATTTTAATGTGGTGAGTTGAGAAATCTTTCATTATATTTGCTAAGTATTTGTAAATTTTTAATTTTTATTTTGATGATCGTGGGTGTCCAGGCCAACTTACGTATACCTCGACTAATTTCACGGGACCCTAAAGTTTACGCCCGGAAACTCTTACCTTAGTAGCCTTGTGAAGACTTGAACTGGTGATTATTGAAGAGCAAATCCAAAGTTTGACCATTGATTGTCATCCAAAGATTTCAATCGTTTTTACACAAGGGCGTAATTGACCATGTATTGTCATATTTACAACAATTTTAAAAAGGGGTTATACTACATGTACATCAGGATATCCATAACGGTGTCCTTTAAAAAGTTATCTATTTAAAATGCACTCATAGTTTTGATTACTTTCGAAAACTCCCATATAAGAATACAGATAATTGTAAAAGATTTAGAATATCAAACTATAATTAAAAATTAGGGGTCAACATTGTGTGATTCGATCAAAATATCTTGTTGGGAATAGTAAAATGTAATCGTTAGTTTTATGAGAAAATGGAAATGTTCCGGTCTAAACAAGTTCCATTTTTTGCTTCTAAGACACATAATCAAACTAATGTTAATTGGAATCAGACTAACCCAACAATTCCAGTCCGATTTGATTCGAATTGAATAGTTTTAACTAAAAACCAAGTTAAAATCTGATGAGGATACAACCACTCTGGGTGATGCCCACCTACGAAAGTCCTTGTTTTATTATCGTACTTGTTTATCTTTTTGGAAATTATAAACATGTCAAATTTTATCTTTAATCAAGCATTTAATTAAAATCATAATTTTTATCAACTTTTTAATTACAAATTTCATATAACGTCAACTTATAACCTCGAAACACTTTGTCAAACATGTTTCCATAGCTATAAATACAATTTTGAGAGAAACGGAAGTTAAGCACCAATGGTATGTTTAAGCCCCATTTTTTTTTTTTATAAGATCGAGTTTTGTAATAGTGATTTTTTTTAACGTGTAAAATGTGATTAAAAAGTAATGAAAGGATTTGAGTTTACATGTAGAATTATTTTATTCAAAGGATGTGTGATAAAAATAATTTAAAAAGAAAAATGAATTTTTATATAATAAGACTCGAAGAGTGTCAACGAGTTGAGTTGAGTCGGCTCGAGAGCTGAAAATCAGGGCTTTGACTCAGTTTGAGCTTTTTTAGGTCGTCCTTTTTTTTGGTCAGAACCGAATCTAGCAAAAGCTTGGCAAAAAACCTAAGCTTTCGGCTCGGGGCCTCGAGCCTTATAAAGCCAATCCGAGTTGTCGGCTCGATTCTTTCTCTCCCTCTCTCTTTAAGAAGGCAGCTGCAACGAGTCTTTAAAAGTCAGCAGCTAGCTGCCAACTATTTTATTTTTTTATTACTATTTTTTAAAATTTCCAGCCATCCCACGAGTTACAAGGGCCGGCTCCGGCTCGGGCCAACAACTCAAGACGGTGCTCAGCCCGAGCTCGAGCTTTTTGCAAGCCGAGATATGGGCAGTTTAAGCTCATAAGTCAATTTGTCATCCCCATCTCGCCATAATTTGTTTGTTAGAACATTCGGGCCGGGTCTTGAATCAATACCCGAACACACTGATTCAACCGCCGCCAGATCCCTTCCTTTTGTGGCTCGTTTCCACGGCAGGGCGACACGCAAGCACACACAGTACTATATATAACAAAAATAATCCAAGCACTCAGAAACTCAGGATTGATTGACAGATTTCTTGGTTTAGTTTAGGATACGGATTGATTGACAGATATCTTGGTTTAGATACGACGCTGTTTTCCTGCTCCCTCTCTCCAAATTTGCATCTCCATCAACCACTCTCGGTTTCTTCAAAACTTCATCTAGCTTCTGATTCTCTGAATCTCAATTTTTGACTTCTTCCTCATCAATTTTCCTAGTCCAGATGCATATATTATGTATACACAATATTATGCCTTTAATTTTCAGTTTCAGGGAGTGCCCAGATTCGTGATTAAATTCAGGAGTGGAGCAATTGAAGGAAAGCCCTATTTTTTTTCTTTGTTATCTGGGGTAATTTTTCTAGAAATTTTTAGTCCATTACTGAAGTAACCTCCCCCCCCCCCCCCCCCTCTTTTTTTATCTGATCATTTAGCAGCAATAAGATTTTCTTTTCTGTAAGATGATCAATTTTGGACTTCGAGACATGGTAAATATGAAATTTGATTTCTGCGGGTGGTACAAGATTATTGTGCGGGAGTTTTTCACCTCTTCTGTAAACAAGAGAAGGGAACTGTCAATTGGTCCTGATAAGGAAGGTTGACAATGTATGTAATATAGCCTTAGAAGGTTTAGAAAGTTTTTAGTTTTTATGGCTGATAGATTTTAGTGTCATCAGTATCTATCTTAATAGTGTTAGCTCAAGGGGTATGATTACCTGCATTTAAATTACTCAGGTGCCAGCAACCAGATTTGGTCAGGTGGCACCAGGAATTTTAGTCTTTTTAGCTGAACTATTTTGAGCATTATTTGTGTAGCATACAATTATCTTTATATTAAATGACTGGGTTCTATCAATGTCAATCAAAAGGACAAAGGGGGATTACAAAGTTTTCTTCAAACCTTTAGTAAACTTAATAAAGACGAATATTGTAAGTTTGGGACATGTTATTCGTTTTCCTTATTTTGTTTTTCGCAGCAGCAGAAGCTCATTGGTGATGGCAGACCTTAAGGAGCGTTTGCTCCCACCCAAACCCGCATCAGCAGTGAATCTTAGAGATCTGTCGTATAGGCCTTCTGCCTCTGGTCGACAACCATTTCAGGGAGTGGATGTTTCCAGCCTGAAAAAGCGTGGGCAAGGCCTTCGGTCTTGGATACGTGTTGATGCATCTGGGAATTCTCAAGTGATTGAGGTTGACAAGTTCACCTTGATGCATCGTTGTGATCTTCCTGCACGTGATCTACGGTTACTAGACCCGCTGTTTGTTTATCCCTCAACTATTCTTGGAAGAGAGAAGGCAATTGTTGTCAATCTTGAGCAGATTCGATGTATCATCACTGCCGATGAAGTTTGGCTCTTAAATTCTCTTGATAGCTATGTACTGCAGTATGTTGCGGAGCTGCAGAGGCGACTGCAAGCTTCTGGAGCTGCTGAAGTTTGGCAATCAGATGGTGCTGAATTGAGCAGAAGGAGAGGAAGTAGAAATTTTGATAATATATATGGGAACACATCACCGGATTACTTGCCATTTGAGTTCAAAGCTCTTGAAGTTGCTCTTGAAGCTGCCTGTACCTTTCTGGATTCTCAGGTACATGCTAGAAATAGCGTCTTCTAAACTTCCATTGCATGTATTGACTGCTTCAGTAATGAAAATTAGCTAATGGCAGACTTGTGAAAATATTACTTCCTGAAGTTTCCTGACATTGTAGATTGTGCTTTTTTTTACGTGAAACAGCCTCTTCACACAATCGAAGCACCATATGCTCCAGATAACGGGAATTTGATTATGTTTAGCTCATGCCTTTTATCTTGAATTGATAAACCGTCCAAAATAAGAACGCATGTGACATATTATGAGGTAATGGTTGAATGTGATGTTTCAGTGATAGATCTTGGCAAATTTAGGACGCTTTTCAAAGGGGAACTTACATTTGTAGATAGATGCATGCAGCTAAATCTACTCATAGTGATAGACAATTACTTTAATAGACCTCATCAAGAAGGGAAATCACGGTAATCAATTTATATTCTTAGGCTTAAGTACACATTTCACTGCTTGTGGCTTGTGCATACTGAAATGTTCCTAGCATGTGTGTTCTTCTCTGATTTCAGAGCTAGCTCGATCTACTACTTTTATGCCATGTACATTGTGAGATGGTTGGTTTTGCCAGATTCCAAGATTTCTTTTATATGTTCGATCTTCTTGTTATATACTTGTATCCAATTGATGGATTCTGCTGTATTGGAAGACATAAGTAAGAGATAGTCTTGCACTCTGTTATCTGGAACTGGAAATATGATAACCAGATAAAAGAGATTAATAGTTACGTGGATTTTTCGGGAAATGCTATTGTGACGGAGGCCTTGACAGGCCCTGTGACAGGCGTCTATGTGGCGCCCTCCTATTGGAGGAAGCGCCGTCCCCACCGACGCCCCCTCCAATAGGAGGCACCCTATCACAGGGCTGTCAAGGTCCCTGTTTTATCATTTCCCAGATTTTTCGCTCACCATTCCTTTGTGTTGGGGGAGAAATGAATTTGAGAGAAAATATATGGTAAGACAGAATATCAATCAATTAAATAACTTGATGGAGTGTATACTCCCCTTGATGATTACTGCGACCTTTCGTTGAATTGTTAACTAATTCAGAATAATAATGAAGAATGTTGGAATTGGCGTTGATATTTAGCTTAAACATATAGCTCAACTTGAAGTCTTTCACTGAAAATGAAGATGCCTGGTATTTGAAGAGTGGTGAATATAAATAGTTTATGCTCGTATTGGAGAATCTTTAATTTTAAGATCTGGAGAAGACCTCTGTCTTCGTACTAATGAGAACATAATGGTACAAAGAAACTATATTCTTTCCTCCACTACTTTTTGGCATTTGAACAACTCGTCTATGATGTTCGGACTCGGGTACGGGTACGGGTACGTATCTAAGCGTCGAATTTTTTATTTTCTAAAATGTAGGATACGGTGACATGGCCAAAAAGAGTCCAAATTTTGGACAAGGATACGTGGATACGTCTTTGTACATCTTTCAAGTTTTAATTTTTTTTACTAATTCTAGATTTCATTTTGAATAGATCAAAATCAATTGTTCACAAAGAAGGAAACCAGTACTGAATAAGAGGTTAAGACGATTAAAATAGAATTTTGAGGCTTAGTTTTTAATTATGATATGTTAATTACTAAATGTTATATAACATATAAAATAATGGACTTGATTGCAATTTGGACTTGGTAGGGGCAGTAATAGCACTCTATGAAACTCATTTTCATTTTGTACAAACAAAACCTTAAACGACCGATACAGAAAGGGAAAGAAGTAAAAAATGATGAAAAGTGGAAGAAAGAAGAAGGAAGAAGAAGAAGAAGAGGAAGGGGGACCTAGCGCCATCGTTTTCTCCTCTCTCTCGGAGGTGACGCAAGGTTTATAGAGAGTAGAAATGGGAAAAAAGGAAAAAGAAAAATAAAAAATAAGAAGCAAAAAGTGAGATGTATGGTTGAAATTTGAAGGATCGGATACATATCTCATACACATACCCATATTGTGTCGTGTCCGACATGGGTACTTTTACGATTTCAAAATGTCTGAGAAGAACTTTGCCTTCATACTAACGAGGACATAATGGTACAAAGAAACTAAATTCTTTCGTCCACTACTTTTTGGTAGTTGAACATCGTGTTGATAAACCCCCAATTAAGTTCACGTACTCATGGCGTCAAAAATCCCGCAGGGCACAGCAGTAATTTCAGTCACTCAATTTGTTAAGAGTTGTTATTCACTTGGTTAGGAGTTTGTTAGGGGAGGGGGTAGTGTCGACTGTGTGTTAGCCTCCAATTTCATTTCCTTTGGTACAGGTTCTTTCTTCCCCCCCCCCCCCCCCCCCAAAAAAAAAAAAAAAAAAAAAGAAAAGAAAAGAAAAGAAGAAGATCTTATGCTAAACTGTCTACTTCTCCTTTGTATAGCTGTGAATTCTTTTAATGGGTGAATATTTATGGTGTGATGGAAACCGCAGGTCAAAATAATGTCCTTCCTGTGTTGTAACTGATGCAGGATAAAGAAGAGAGCAGCAAGAAAGGGGGAGAAACCGGAGAGAATGGGAAAAAAAACCGGAGAAGAAGTAGAAATTTAGGGAAAAGGGGAAGGAAGAGAAAAGAGACGCCACAACCAATCTCAATAATTCACATTCATCCAAAACTAATGAAATTACATGATAAATTAGGTTCAAATAGTCAAAACAAAACCCTACCTAGAACGGGTTTGGGTCAATACAAGCCCAATTACATAAATAAAGTCCACAAAATAAAATAAAGTCCAACTAGAAATAAAATAGATGATGTGCTCATCAATAAGAGTTCACCTTTTTTTTTAAATAATGGAAATAGAAGATGCCTGACCACTCCTATGCTTAATGAAAGCTTAGGTTTTTACGACGATTGTGTGATACCTTCATTTGAAAGTTTCTTATATTATATATGATGGCTGGTTTTCTGGTCTCTTGGATGAAACCGGATGTGAGCGAGGTGCTTGTGTGATGTCCAAAAGCTAAATTTTCAAAGTTTAGCTATTATGTTCTGTCCAGAATTTGGAGACAAAAGGAAAACGGCTGTCGAGAGTCTAAAGTGAGTGACCAAATACTACTGTAAGCCTAGTTGGATATCCCTTAATGCAATAGTACAGATTGTAGACAATTCAATGGTTACTTAGGATTATGTTACAAGTTCAATAAATATCTATATTTCTCTTATTAAGGGGCATAATGTTCTTTTCTATGTTAAGACCAACAATTCATTAAAACTATTACGTAAAATTTAAAAGTGCATTCGGAAAATTTTTTAATTGATCAGGCAGCAGAACTAGAGATTGAAGCATATCCATTGTTGGATGAACTCACGTCAAAGATCAGTACATTGATCTTGGAACGAGTTCGTCGATTGAAAAGCAGACTTGTTGCGCTGACTAGGAGAGTTCAGAAGGTTCGCATTTTTTTTTAATAGTTAAGATCTTATCTGAGACATGATCCCTCTCTGATATTTCTTCCTCCAATTTTCTATTTTTATTGTCCAGGTTAGAGATGAGATAGAACAGCTAATGGATGATGATGGAGATATGGCTGAAATGTATCTTACAGAGAAGAAAAGTCGGATGGACTCATCATTTTATGGTGATCTTTCTTTGATGGGATACCAATCTAATGATGGTGCAGTTTCTTTTTCGGCACCAGTTTCTCCTGTTTCCTCACCTTCTGACAGCAGGAAGCTCGAGAAGAGTCTGAGCATCACCCGGAGCAGGCATGAGAGTATGCGGAGCTCGGAGAGTGTCAAAGAGAGTGTAGAAGAGCTTGAAATGTTGTTGGAGGCCTACTTTGTTGTCATTGACAGCACCCTTAATAAGTTGACATCGGTATCATTTATGATCATGATTTTAATTTTTCGGCTTTTATTTCTCTCCTATTGAAACCTGATTTTCAATTCATATTCTTCTCTAATTCCAGCTGAAGGAGTACATTGATGATACGGAGGACTTCATCAACATTCAACTGGTATGCGTCACTTATTAAATATTTCTGACATTATTGTTTGATGTGTAAGCAGAACCCTTTGTGTCGAATAGGTCATTTATTGACCCCAAAATAACCAAATGGAACCCATCCCCTTAACTTGGTAAAGCTATGTGTTCTGGTCGAACCTCAGATACATGTTTAAGTGGGGTGCTTTATTTGTTTTAGTGAACTCTGAAATGTATCAGATGAAATTATGGGATTTTTCTTCATGCTTAAAAGATCTAACGCTAGCCTGTGTTTTACGTGGCTTTTTTTCTCTCTGGTTATCGAACGCACATGTTTTGACTATTATATCCATGTTGAAATCCAAAATAAAACCGTCTTAACGGTTGTGACATTTAATGTTATTTCTAAAGAGAGACGAATTTGAATAACATGATTGATGCTTCCGAAACCCATAGACAGTTAAGACAACAATTTTTCTGCATCTGAGTTGTTCATCCATCAATGAGCTAACACAAATTTGGCAGGATAACGTTCGAAACCAGCTGATACAGTTCGAGCTTTTACTTACTACTGCAACATTTGTTGTTGCAATATTTGGTGTTGTTGCTGGGATATTTGGCATGAACTTTGAAATACCAATGTTTGATGATCCAGGAGCATTCAAATGGGTTCTGATGATCACTGGAGTCACTGGAATAGTCATATTTTTCTCATTTTTATGGTTTTTCAAGTACAGAAGATTGATGCCACTATAGACAGTAGACAAAATAGCAAGCATTTTGATTCCATGTCAAACAATAGCAAAAAGAAGGAAATGATAAAAAATTCTGCATTGTTATTTGTAATTATTCTTCTGTGTATAAGAATCTTGTTTCTTGATGTATATTATCCATATTATCTCAAAGATTGTCACGTGAACTTTCCCTAAAGGGTAGTAAATAATGGTTACGTTAAGCCCCCGTCCGGGACCGTTTATTCTCTGATTTTAGCCATTTTTACAGTGCAACATTAAGTGATTGATTACCCAGCAATTAAAGTAGACAAAAAAGAAAAAATGACAGGGCGGTTTATCATTTCATTAATTTTTCTTGCGAAGGGCATTTCTAGTGATTCAAACATTAAAAAAGACAGATGTTTCTAATTTGTCCGATTCGAATTCTGCACTACTGGGGCCCAGTTCACTTTTTAAAAAGGGTAAACCTGTTTGTACAGCAAAAATTACTTTACAAACTTACACTCCTATTAATGTGGAGCCCTTCATGTGAGGGAGTGTAAAACTTGCTGTACACGAGTGTACAGCAAGCAGAGCTGTTTAAAAAATATTGATTTTTACATTTAAATGGTCCCAACTGGGAGCTAAGTGCGTCAAAAGTA